TGATAAAAAGTCTTGCTTTGTGTTTCCCATGGAGGATTATATCCTCCCTGCAGCAGAGGCGAAGGTGTCTCCCCAGGGAGTAGCTGGCCTGCTCTAAAACAAAAGTTGAGCTTATGGGCACTGCAACCTTCCATGGCCTATCGGACAGAGATAGGTATTTTTGCAGAAGATGTTTCCTACTCTCCCTCATTCCAGCTGACCTAAGCGTCCTTAGTGAAGTTCTCCACTCTTTGCTTAGGCTTTCTCACAGTGCAACAGAGTTCATTGCCATCCCAAGGTTTACCATTATTAATTCCTTCCATCATTCCATCTTTTATGATCCTAATAATCCTTCTCCACTTACATGCAGACTGTGATGTCTCCTCTCTGAGGCCAGCTAACTTCTGTTTCTTTTCTCATCTCCCGCTTCGCCAGTTTTTATTTTATTTTGATTTTTACTAATATTTGTAACTCTTTCCATTTAAGTGCAATTAAGTAATTATATTAATCATTCTGAAAAAAAAAATACATTTATGAGGTAGAGCTTCCCCTCATTTGCTGGAGAACCTGAGATGATCCTTTCCACTGCTAAGGAGAAGCACTGAGCATTGGTGGAAGTACCACTGCCATTGTTCACATGCCGTACCACACATTTGCCTTTTTAATGGAAAATATGCATCTTTTGTCTGATTACTTGCACTATGCAGAGACTAGGGATTTTTGTTACATATTAATAGCCAAAAGAATAGTGGCATATTCACATGATCAGATTCAAAGGTTTTTTGAAAACTAAGAGAATTAAGCAAAGAATTTGTTTTGAGGTTGCTCTTTAAAATCCAAAGTGATAACTAAAATGCCAGTAAACAGGATTTTCCGTATAGCAGTATTCTCAGCTAAGAGAGGTCCTTCCTCTCTCATTGCACGCATTAGGGATGTTTAATGAAAGGTTACCCACAGGGTCATCAGCAAGGCACACAATGCCTCTAGCCTTACAATGCACTTAACTTCAAAGCGGTTGGCTGCATTCCTGAGCCTTGTACCAATAAGCACTAATAACACTGAAAAAATGAAAACTGAAACAGATGTCTCCAATAGCATTGATTCTTATTAGCTGTTCACAGCTATTCTTACACCTCTAGGCATAATGAAGCAAAGCCTGCGCACTGGGTGTGCGGCTGCAGCGGGCCTGGTAATGCCGCAGGAATGTTCCCCTTGCTCGCGCTCACTGCATTCTTGACAGGCTGTCTCCATCATAATCTTAAGAAAACTACTTTAAAATGCCATTTAAAAATGCATCAAGTATGCACACTCTTACTCAAGAAGGATAGGACCTGACAGCAACATGTATCCCTTAAAATTAATTGTGGAAAAGAGTGACTGAATATACATCGAAAAGAATAAACTGAACTACGATTAATCCGCAATTAGATCCTCAATCTGTTATGACCACCCAGGAGGAGATAGGGCACCACTGTAGCAAGCACACAGAGAGGCAGTCAATAAGTAAGAGAAGTTTTGTGTGTAGTGGTATGCTGCAAACAGTCACATCGCATAAGCAACAGACACTAACTCCATGCACAATCTGTTCACTACAGAGTACAGACTTGATATGGTTTTGGTGAAACACAAGCACAGTGTGCATCCGCAGAGCTGCATATTCAAGCAAGGGCTACAACACACTTGTTTGGCTGTCCAGACTCACATCTCTACTCCCGTGCAGTAGAGCTAGTAGAAAGAAGGCTGTGTTTTGCTATGGATCTCACTAGGAGCCTGATCATTATCGAAGTGATGAGTGAGAAGACTCTGCTTAGTACAAGATGAAGAATCCTGCCTCTCCTGCATCTCTTTCCCCCAAGGCCTCTGCACATCTCCAGAGACAATTTTATAGTTTCAGAATATTCAGTCCAACTTAACCTGACAGTTCATGCCTTCATCTTAAAGTGATCCTAAAATTCACTCTCTGTCTTCAAAATAACAGGGCAAAACTGTGAAAGAACAGAAGCTGTGCTAGTTCTGTGATGTAGAGAAGAAAGCAGCAAAGTACCAAAAGAAACATCTGTGTAATATTGCAGATGCTTTAAAAATTGCACAGATTCTTCCAAGGAAGAAACCTAGGAATCTGGTGCAATGCATCTGTGGGAGCTTCAGCCTTTCTTCAAAGGATTCTAGACAAGCCGGAACTCCAAGAATGGACTAGGCCAACAGCAACAGCATCACACTGCAGGTAGCCTCTGCTCACTAGCCGCTCTAGCCCATTAGCTGAGCGGCTGAGCAGTCCCAGCAGCATTTCCTCATGTATCCCACCTGCGGTGCTCTGTTCCTCGGGATAAAGAGTGTTATCATGCAACATACCGCGTGGCTGGACCACCCGCACTGGCACTCCTGGAGCAAAGGTGGCACCTGTGTGAATCAGCAGGACTGAGGGATGGCTTCGGGGGTTCAAGGCACTTACTCCATGCTACCGCACAACACACAGTCTGATTTCTCTTAAATCACCCTGGTGAAAACATCACTCACCCAGCAAGAGAGGGAGTGGAGGTTTTCCAATGAGACTCATACACAACAAAGCAATAAAAACCACATCAGCGAGAGTTTTCCTACTGTTGGGTAATCACTGTTGTGAAGATAAGGGGAAAGGATGGGCCACCTGCAGCTACAAAAACATTGTGGCTGCATTTTATCTGTGAAAATTTCTTTTTATCTCCAAAGCAAAAGAGGAGGATTTGTTTGGGTAGGTGTCCATTGCAACGCGAGTTTGCTGTTCTCGCAGGCCTTATCAACAGCAAATACATGTTTCTTTGCTGCAGTAGCAAACATGCTTCCATTTCTGTACACAGAAACATTCCTGGATTCACCCAGCGACTCCAAGGAAAGAATCATTGCTTAGAGGGATGCAAAATAGTGTCGTTGCCCTGACCTGGGGACAGCCCAGCAGCCTGCATGCACCAGCTCCCCTCTGCCTCTGCTTCCAGCCAGCTCAGCGCAGCACAGGAGCCCTAAGCACTGCCCACCACCGCTGCTCTCCCTCTTCCTTTTAGCTGCCCTTGGGTCAGTAAAGGCTACACAGAGCTGGATCCAGATGCTTCATCCAGACGATACATAAAATTCAGGAAATTCAAATACACATCTAGTTATTAAAGAAGCAGTAATAAAGGCAGAATCTCTTATTAATTAAAAAAGAAATCTTTTCTCCTAGGTTAATGTAAAGCTGGTATGAAGCAGGTAGCATGGACCTCCCTGGTACCATGGTGAAGCAGTTCCCACAGTGCAGCCTGAAACTCAAATGGTGCCCATGAATCTAGCTTTTCCTTGCTACTCCTAAAAGAAGGATTGGACTGGACGATCTTCAGATGTCCGTCCCAACCCCTACTACTCTGTGATTCCTGCTATTAGTTTCTGTATTTAACAGTAAATCCTTTGAAGAAAGAGCAAAGGTCCATAAAAAAGACATCATGCAAGCTATTTGCCAGTTGACTGTTACCATTATTCTCACAACAAGTCTAAACCATATAAAAGAGGAACACACAAGACAGATAACTGCAAATGAAGACTGGACAGGCAAAGCAAAACAATAGCTCCTTTCTAGAGCAGTCACCCACATGTGAACCCACAGAAACTCAGACCTGGACACAGGTACCAAATCTGCTTCAAGGGAACTCTGTTACTCTGCTTTCCCCTTCCCCTGTGCCAAATGATGATAAAGCCTGAAGGCTTTGCAGTGATGAAAAACGCACAGTAAGAAAAGAAACAGGATTATTACAATGGCCAAGAAAAGTTTCAGAAAACAGACATTTATGGGATCCGTTTGGATTCATTTGTATGTGACACATGCGATTTCACTTGGCTGACTAGGCACAACTCAAGGCAGAGATGAACCTAGGAGGTAGCTAAAGGAAAGGAAAACTGGCTTTTAAAATGCATACATTATTTCTTGCTTCACCATCCTCACTTCTGCCTGTAAAAGCCATTCCAGCAGCCCTGCGTTGGGTTATGTCCCAAATGAGATTATTTTACACACAACTATATTTAATTTGCCATGAGGAGAACACCTTGGTTTATTTTATGTCCACATGTTTAATTGGGCTTCTGATTATTTAATGTTACTGTGGCAGAGGTAGCTTTTATGAGGCACAAAAGAAAATTTAATGAAAATTATTCACAAGCCCAACTTCTGACTAGTAAAACCAAGAGTTTAATGTAAGAGGCAAAGTCCCCATCTGGTACTTGGCCTGGAGAAGAGCAGCCCACATGAAGGATTTATTGTGACATTACAATGCTTGATGTCACATAATCTAGCCGGAGGAGCGATATTGCCCTAAAGAGAGCCATCAGGGCTTGTGTGACACGGGTATTTGAGAGGATTAACTACACTTAAATCAATACGGGCAATGAAAACAGGAATAACCAATCTCTTGGCCGCTCAATTATTTAAGAGTGTCTCTATTCCCCACAGAATGGAATTAAACGCTTGTTTAAGAGCACTGACAATTAAATCCATTTCTTTAATGTCAAGATAAGAACTCAGGATCCCAGACTGTGCTGCAATGTGGAGCACTGGCATCTCCTCAGATGCTTGGAAAAACCCGCCAGTGCCACCGGGCCATGGCAACCACTGGCCGCGGGGAGCTGCATCCCTGCTCCCGCGGCAGCCCCGCTGGAGCCCGAACCCATGGGCCTGGGACGACAGGGGCAGGAGGGTCCCAGAGCACGGCCAGGATGGACACCAAGATGCACGGCCACTGCTCTGTCTCCAAACAGGAGGCGGGAGGTGCAGAGACCTTCAGCCACCTGCCCCTTCCTGTGCTGGGCCTTAAGAGCATAAACAGACAGGCTTTAGCAGTCATAGCACACTAAGAACTAAGTGCAATTTCAACTGCTACTGTAAACATAAGTTATTGAAATGGGCTACCCAGGGATCTGAATTTGGAAAAGTTTGTCTGACCTCTTTTTTTTAAGATTTGTTTTTAAGATAATGCTTTATAGAGCTGCTACAGCCTGACCTTTCATGATCACACCATTCCTCCTGAGGCATTTGTTCATCTCAAATGCAATGAAGAAGTTCCTGGTGTGGAAAATTTTAATAAGAATTCCTACCTTCGGATCATAAAAAGGGGGTAACAGAAGCAGAATGTATGCAAAGCATTGAATGTTCATTCATCATATTGCAATTACCCCAGGCGACAGGAAAATATCAGATGCTTGCATGTCTTCTGTTAGATTTCCTGGCCAGAAAAGCTGAAAGACATTTTTAAATTAGACAAAACACAATTCACTAAGAATGCATGGAAAAGTAAAAGTTTTTGCTGTAGATGGTGCACCATATTTCACATTAGTAAAGGCTCTAAGAAGTTGGAACATAGGTACATAGCCTGAGCTTAACTCTCAGGATGCTTCAGAACCTGGTAAATGAATGCAGAAAAACCTTCCCTGGCTTGCAGCTAACATGCCGTACTGATTTCTCTCTGTCATTCAGCTCCAGGGAAAGACTTCCTTCCCAGATCTTCTATCCTTTCCTTGTGTTTTATATTCTGTTCACTAAAAGATCACTGTGCCTTGTTTTCCTTAATATTTTTAAGTCTTTCATCTATAGAAAATATGAACTCCAGAAAAACTGAGATTTCCTAAGCATTTTTTAAAACCATTTGTGAAAGTGCTTTGTAGAAAATCATTACTCACTGTTTTTATGTTGACACTTGATAAGCATAATAGCTTGGAGGTACTGTTGATTAATGATTTCTAGGTCCTCTGATGTTCTTGTGCCAACTTGTCCACATTTCACAGTCAGAGTAAGGTGCAAGAAATAAATAAATAAAATTGACGATTGTCACTTTGCAACCAGAGACAGGATTTTATAGCTCGTATGTGTCCTGGAAGCTTTGCATGCAATTCCCAACTTCAGCACTACTATTGATCAAGTGCTGCGACGCTGCTGCGCCAAGCCTCACCCTCTGCACATCTGGTTTTGTGGTCACCCTGCTGGCTGTTTTCATGCCCTTATTTTGCTGACTATCACCAAATGAGTTATTCCTTCCTCTTGCGCAGCAAAGCTACGCAGCTCTTTGCTCTCCTTTGGTGCCGTTAAGACCCCTTTCAGCGCGATGCTCCCGGGCTCTGTGCGCCGTGGGCCCCGCACCAGCGCGGCCTGCTCCCGTCTCGGCCCCACCAACATGGCTGCCGTCCCCATGGAATCCGCCGGCACTTCTGTGGCCACCTCCACGGCCAGGTGCAGAACGGCCCGTGCCCCGGGCTGCAGATGCACGTGCACGCAGCCAACGCAGCCCTGTTCCCAGGGCATTTGAGCCTCTCTCCCCTGTGCAGGTCACGGGCGCCAGCACCGCTGCACATGTGCCCTCGTCGGGTGCTCGCCTCCATCCAGGTCTGGTCCAGCACTGCCCAGAGCTGCAGGCTCCAGGCCCTCGTCCTCAGCACCCACCAGCCCTCGGCACCTCTGCGCATCTTCCATGTTCCCACCGGACTGAGACAGACTGCTCCGTGGGAATGTCAGAAACAGCACACCAAGGGCAGCAGTGACCCAGCACTTCACGCTCCTCGTGGGAAACTGGAGACACCTCCAAAGCAGCAATGGGCATGGCCTCAGGAGGGAAACACGGGACACAGCCACCCATTTAATTTAAAAGAAGAGTAAAGCACATATAGCACATTGTCACCTGCCTATTTGTATTAGTATAGGACAGTTCCAGCATAAAACCCAGGCAGCAATTTGCAGTATGATCCTTTTCAAAACACGTTCTAAAAAGCAGCATTTCTGGAGTCATGTTCCTGGTGTCAGTCCCCATGGCAACCCGAGAGGTGGCGGGCAGAGCAGACCTCGCAGCTCTCCAGCACGCCGAGGCCGGGCTGCACCCACCAGAGAACTGACACAGCTCATGGGCTTCCTCGAAGGGGTCACGCAGAGCAGAGAATGCATCCTCTCCTGAGGACGGAGGATCTCTTTCCCATGGTTCCACCACAGTGAGAACATTTTCATCCTTTACCAACAAATATGTTTAGAAGTCTATTTAGATATACAGAAACAAAGTCATAATATTAGAAGGTATGTTGATCCCCTTAACACAGGGTAGCTGAAAACCTCCAGATCTATACTATACTTGTGTCTCAGTTCCTGAGCTGATATGCCTGACAAGCAGTGGTAGTTCCTTATTTCTTTTCTACATCAATATTATAAACAAGTAACATAAAATGGATCTGCTGGATGTATCCTTTTGATCTGGCCTCAAAAGTCTTTTTCCTGAAAACAAAGCAAAAGAGAACTGTAATTTTATTATACATGCTAGTCCTCAGTAATGTCAGAGACACAAGCACAGCACCTGACGATGATGATGGTGTTATTAGGTTTCTCGGAATAGATTTTTAKAAATATTTTGGATCCAGTCCTGTGAGACCACTAATCTTGCTAGGTATCTTCAGAAGATGGAGCTTTTATATCCCATACACACACACAGACATTAGAGAAATCACTCACTTTATAAATTCGAAGGTTTTAGATTTGGGCAATTTGCTCTCTGCCACCGCTTGTCCAGGGTACTCCTGAGCTTTATTATCAGCAGGGTGTTTGCTCAAGATGAGAGGCTGGTGTCAGCCCAGTCACCGAGAATAAGAAATGCTTATTTGTCGCATTGGATCACATCTTTGTGGATCCAAGATCCAAATCCGTATCTGCCAGATCCTCGCAGAGGCAAAGGTGAAAGAGGTTTCATGAAACAAAATTTACTGAGGTTCAGGTGACCGTAGTGGTAGCTAAGCGCACCCAGTGGTAATCCTTGTGCTGGACGTTGCCCAGAAATGAATTTAAACCTTGTAGGTTTTGTGCTCAGGAAAGCTGATGCACAGCAGATGTTGAAGTATTCTTTGTAGCATCTATGGAAACCCAGCTTTAAATTTACACAAGCAAGCATTTGCAACAGGCTTTTTTGAACATCTTATTCCTAACTTCAGTAGGACAATACTGTGCTAACCAGCATGTTTGGTTGTTCTAGTGGAAGAAGACAAGAGAGCTGGTCAATAAGATTTAAAGTTTTTAGAAATCACAACATTAAAAAAAGTTTCTAAAAGGTAGAATGAAAACATGATTTGCCCCTGGGCGTTTCACAAACAGGGAAGAGGAGAAAAATAATTTAATAAATGATTCACCACAAATTTCACACCCAATATAGACAAAAACAATGTCCATCCACTCAGCCATCACCCAGCCTTGATAGCTTCAGCTGTACCTTTCTCTGCAAAATGGTATTTCATTAAAAAAAAAAAAAACAATGAGATGATATTAGGTTTATTCTTACTCTCTGAGAGGAGCAATACTATCCACTTATGTCAAGGATCAGGTGAGCAGGGAGGACCTCAGACACAGGCCGGAAAACTCCAGTGCACAGGAGGTGACCAAAGATAGAAATAAAATAAAAAAAGTACTCCTTATATTGAAATTATATCTAATAACAATAGTGAAGGAATATTGTCCTTACACAGAAATACTGTAGAATTACTGTGACTTTAAAGGAATTGCTTTGTCTGCAAAATACTCATTAGAAACAAACAGATTATCGATATCCCAATTATAGCAATCCCATGTCCCTTAGAGGCTGGTCATACTAACCTCACTTTGCAGATCAGTCTCTAAGAGCCCTTTTGTGGAGTAAAGAAGTTTTCAGGAGGATTCAGCATCAACCAAATTGGTGGTATAAGTTACTTTGGAAAGAGCTTTGTGAAATAATTGAAACAGCAGGTATTAGTGCCTGCAGATGCAGCACTTGAGGCTTATCCAGGATTTCTCACACCTGATGGACATTAAGTGGCACAATTAGAGGTAAAAGATCAGCTCCTGAAGCATATCTATGCTCTGGATTTACAGAGCATGCATTTTCATTAAAGATGGCTGAGTGTTATGATGAAGACAAAGACAGTGATGGTGAAAAAAGGAGAATACAACTGGTGACTGTCGGCTGTATATTTTTCAAAGGATTTGGCATAAATATGGTGCTTGCATTGGTGGAAGGTTTCAGCTGTTTTATGTCTCAGCAACAGTTTAAACAATAACATTCATATCACAGAATGGTGTAGATAATATCTGCAATAAAACCGGGTCTTTTATGTTCAGAAGCAGACAAAGCCAGAAAAGCACATTGATRAATGAAGATGAACCTATGTATTTTGTTGTGGTGGAGCTCCCTCTAGCTTATGGCATTAACCCTGTATCTGTAAATCATATTTGCTTAGACTCATCCCTCCATTTTCAGGGTAGAAAAGGCTTCCAATTCTATAGGCTTGGAAACATTTATGACATTTATAATCCAGCTGAAAAAAGCCCCTAAAACCCAGCTGCTAGTTGAATGGCATTAACAAGTCTGATGATAATAAATTTCATGGTTCTAGAAAGAACAAGACAGAGAAAAAGAATTCTGTGACATCCAGAGTTGTGACTGTCATTAGCGGCAATTTCTGCCTCTTCCAGCTTTATTCTTTTCTATTAATATTCGAAGAAAATATTAATATATCTTTACCTACTTTGTTGAGAGCATTAACTGTTCCAAACCAGCAATGAACAAGTTATGTAAATGCTACAAGGTAAACTAATTAGTTCAAGAAACAACACTCCACTAAATAAATCTGAAATATCCCAATTCCTCAGAAATATATCTCATTCCCTTAATTTATTCAAAAGAACAAATAAAAGGTGATTAGGAAACATCTTAGTCATATTAAGGTTGGGAAAGAGTCACRCTGACTTCTTATTTGTTTTAGCTGCAGAATTCATAAAAACTCTGCTATTTAGGACACCTATTTTTCAAGGCTGAATTAATGTTGTAAATACTAACTGTACCTTTAAAAAAGGAGTGGAATTAATGGTGCACTATGGAAACAATGTTTTGCTAAAATGCTAATTTGAGGAGATTAAGACAACATTTCTGAAAAATAATATCCACAATCTGATGTGAGGCTTAAATAACTACTGAAATGATAAGCAGACAGAGCTACAGGAGAAGAGTTAATTAAAAATCACCAAGGCAACTTACATTCCTTTGTCATAAAATAAATGTTTTGCTACTGATACTGTACCTGTAAACTAAAAAATCATCAGCTGTCCTAGCCAAGCAGAGAATATAAAAGGATTTACTTGTTAGAAATGTTCTAAATATTCTGCTTTTTAAATGCACTTAGCCACATTTCTTCATAAATATTGTTCCCTGGGTTTTCTGTTTAACTTCACAACTACTTACCATAAGCTCCTCTGTACAGTGAGAAATTAAGTTCAACCATGCTAAAATTAACAACAAAGCATCAACTTGTTATAGACTTTGAGGAATCTGATTCAATAGCAATGGATATTAAATTTTAAGAGAAAAATAAAAGACAGAATAAATGTCTTATGTATCACATTTAAGAAGCTGAAACGTGATAAAAAAATGTAGCTGTAATCTTTAGAGCTAAAATTGTGTCTATGCTATAGCTCTTTCCCTCCCTCCCCCCATATATTAATGTAAATATGTAAATAATGTCATATATTAATGTAAATTAATATATGACATAGCTCTGGGGGTTTTTTTAGAAGTTATATTTGCTATTTAGAGGTTTTAAAGTTGCAATTTTAGAAACTGCATACTCTGCAATTTGTTTAATCAAAAGACTAATCAGCCTGATGTTAGAAGTATAACTACACATTGATAAAGAGATAAAATTTGAAAAATACATTATTGTCTGAATTTTATTCTTTAATAGCTTATGAAATGGAATCGAACACACCACTTGTTTAAAATTAAATTTGAAATAAACCTTAAAAAGATTAGTGACTATTGAAAAAAAAGAATATCTTGAAGTTTAGTTCCATTATTTTTCTTTTTTAACTACTATTGCTCTTCTTACCTGTATTTTTACAGAACAGTTTAATCAAATTTATCTTCTTAGGGCTTACATTCTTCTCTAGATAGATGCAGTGTAATTCAAGATGAGTCATATAGGTAGGAGCAGACAATAATAGCAAATCGATGATGAAAAGTTAAAGGAAGAAGGAAGTAAGGGTTGTTTAATGTGCCATATATTGCAAGAATATAATTGCAGAATATATATATTTTTGTGCCATGTGGTGTGACTGCCCCTGTTTAGAATGAGAAAAAAGACTTGATATATTACCCACATTTTATATAAAAATTGTTGTTCTATATTAATTATATTACCCACATTTTATATAAAAATTGTTCTATAATAATTAGATATCAGAATTGCACAGGATTTTTGAAACAGTTTTCTCAGATGCATAGCTGTTACATGCTGAAATTCAAATATATCATCCAGGTTGGGTGTTGGGAAGGAGGATCTGAATGCTTGCTCTCCCTGAGAAGTTAGGGAAATTGCTAAAGCTGGATCAAAAGCAGACAACAAAATGCTCTTAATGGGATTCTTGCCAGCTTCTCCTTTTAAATTGTATCATACAAGGTAACCTTAAAACTGAGTGCAGCTCATTCTGTTGATCAGTAAACATGAATTCTTTGAAATGTTTATTAGCCTTGGAAACAGAAGTGCAAATATATGAGATTGTGACCTGCAGGAGGAGTCCAGACGCTATCACTATTAAGCATGTCAATAATAGGACTTCTGTTGCTTAAATCACACTCAATACAATTAGGATGAATTAAATTTGTAATAGCTTTCTGTTAGCTTTTTCAATGATCTGTATTATAACTGGAGATGCTTTAATGATTTAAAGAATGAAAATTAGTTATTTAAAACCTTTTTTTTCATTAAAATGTAGATATGATTATACACTGAAGTAATTTAAAAAATCAAAAGCAGAATACAGTAGTCCAAAGAGATGTGAAACCACATTCTAGTAATGCTGTCCAGTGCAATATTTTGCTTCCATGAGAGTATCCTATGTTTGAATTATCACTGCAATAAGAATGCTTTGCAGTTGATCTGGTTAGGGAAAAAAATGCATTGACTTTGCAGTAGAGAGATGAAACTTTTTCTACATGTGCCCAAATTCACCTTTAGTTTACTGGGAGTTGAGAGTGATATGTACATCAAAAAAAAATAGTCAAAAAAAAGAAGAAAAGAACAGACAAATGTTACAGCTAACAGTCAAGTGACTTGGGTAGGAAATATTTGGCATCACACAAGTTTATCTATTGAATTTTGATTTTTTTTCATTGAATGTTCACACAGTACACGCACTAATATTTAAAATTTGTTATTAAATACTTGATTAGAATTTGGATGTGAGCAGGCAACTTTATGAATAAAGCATAACACATAACTGTGAAAGTATTTTTCAAAATTACATTTAAAAAGATGAATGTTTTTACGTAGACTAGTATTATCATTTTATACAGCATGTTCATTTCAAGGATTTGTTTTTATTTTCAATATTCTGTTAACACTCAACCTGTAATTCGCAGCTTCTCCTGTAAGTAGATTTCACTACTCGAAGTATGGCATTCCTGTGGCTGACAAACCCATACAGAAATGCTCAGTGTATTTGCTTTTCCCGTATTCTCCAAACAGTTCATTTTAGAGGAAAGCGTTCATGGAAGCTCACTCCAGCCCCGAGTGTCCAGCGGTGCATCTCCTGTTCAGCCGGTCCCTGCAGACCAAAGCACCAGCTCCCAACCCATGCATGGTCTGGGAAGGACAAGCGGAGACGCAGCGTGATAAGCACGTGCTTTGCTGAGCTTGTTCATGTGATTTACCTGCAAGGTGACAGCAACCATTTCATAGCTCTTACTCCAAAAGGCATCAGTAGATGAGCCCTGGTGCTGCTGCAGCAGAAACACACCACAAAGCCATGGCTCTTCTCAGCTTTCTCTACAGCAGTTTTTTATATTGTTATTCAATGCCTGAAATAGCCAGGATGTAAAAGCTTAGTCCGTTACTAATCCACACTCTTTCTTGATGGATTTACTCATCCAGATGCATGGTTCTTTTTCTATCTCAAATTACCTTCATAGCTGCAAGTGAGACCCTCCAAGACAGTTTTTTTCCTCCAGATAAAAGGATAAAAACAGAAGAGGAAAGAAAAGGATGGGGAGGGGCACAAAGCTGTAGGCCAGTACAGAGCAGGACTCATCCTGGAGCAGCTCTGCTGGGCAAAAGTCACTCGGCCATGAATCTTTGAGAGCCTCCTGCACATTATGGAAAGCAACAAATCCCGTGCTTTGCCTTGGATATTTTGCCATGTTCTCCCAAATTGAAATATTTAATTCTGGAAAGAGTCAATCCTTCTGGTGCAGCACAAGTGAATCTGCTTATTTGGTGCAGTGAAAATGACTGTGTTTCATCTTTTGCAGGGCCTTTTAAAAAAAAAGGTCTCTGAAAAACAGAATTATATCGCTTACAGGAGCTGGATGAACACAGGACAATCCCTGCCCTGATAACACCCACTAAATTGCCTATACGAGATGAGCACAGATCAAACCTTGTCTCCTCAAGCACGCAGTGACCCATCCTGCAGTTCCTAAATACATATTGGGTCCCTTTGCAGAGCTTGGCACCCTTGTTGTGGCGAGCCCGCAGTGACACTAGACACACAGCCCCGAGGGAAGCAAGGGGACTCATCTGGGCTCAGTGAAGGCCGGGCAGGCGCAGAGGGACTGTCAGCGCAAGCACAGAGCGTTTTCACAAAAGCCTCCTTATTTCAAGCATGCTCA